CCAGCTAATTTTTGGTTTTTTTTTTTTTTAGAAGAGACAAGGTTTCACCATTTTTGCCAGGGTGGTCTTGAACTCCTGACTTTGTGATCCACCCACCTCAGCCTCCCAAAGTGCTAGGATTACAGGTGTGAGCCACCATGCCTGGCCTTGTTTTTATTTTTAAGAGACAGGGTCTCATTAGGTTGCCCAAGCTGGTCTCAAGCTCCTTGGCTCAAGCAATTCTCTTGCCTCGGTCTCCCAAGTAGCTGAGATTACTGTGCATGCTCCTGTGCCTGGCTCAAAAAATCAAGTAGCTGGGATTTCAGGTGCATGTTACTGTGCCTAGCCCAAACAGATTTTTAGTTAAAAAAAAAAAAAAAAAAGCTTAAAAGACCTAAATTAAACTGCAGTGGGTGAAAAATACAGGTTTGATGGAATGCTAAGAACATAATAGGTCCAGAAAAGCTTCACTACAGCTTGATTACTAAAGACTAAAATTGGACCCCAGTATCATTTAAGCCATTCCTCCCAATAAAAAAAAAAAAAAATCAATTTCCAAACACTTTAAACATGGACTCTGGACCAAATTCCCCGCAATCTACTGATGGGCTTCCAACTCACCTTCGCTTTGGTGCCCTAATGAAGAGCTCACAGAGAAGTCTGCCCTGTTCATCCTTATAGTCTCGGATGGTGTTATAAAGTTCATGGCACACGGCAATCTACACATTAGCAAAGGAGAAAAATCACCAAAAAAGTGAACAGAAAGCCAGTGTAGGCATAAAAATTATTTTCTAGGCAAATAGATAAGAAAAATGATGACTCTCAATATTACCAAACAGGCTGAAATATGCTGACAGTACGTCTCCTTTTTTTTTTTTTTGAGATGGAGTCTCGCTCGGTCACCCAGGCTGGAATGCAGCGGCGCAATCTCAGCTCACTGCAACCCCCACCTCCAGAGTTCGAGTGATTCTCCTGCCTTAGCCTCCCGAGTGGCTGGGATTACAGGCACGTGCCACCACACTTGGCTAATTTTTGTGTTTTTAGGAGATGGGGTTTCACTATGTTGGTCAGGCTGGTCTCAAACTCCTGACCCCGTGATCCACCCACCTCTGCCTCCCAACGTGCTGGGATTACAAGCATGAGCCACCGTGCCTGGCAAGCATGTCTCCTTTCAAACAATCGAGTTGACTAACTTTTTGGCATCTTCCATCACATTCATGCTCCTGGTGATTTTGTCTTTTAAACTAAATCAGTTCATCACTCTCTTGCTTAAAGCTATCCAACAGAAGGGTTTCTCAGTACATATAGAATAAAACTCTAAACTCTTAACACTGCTTGTGTGGGCCCTACATACTCTGAATGGGTGGAGCCTGCCAATTTCCTTCTCCTTCCCGACCATCTACTACTCTGTAACCATGACACACTAAACCCATCCCTGACTCAGCCCCTCAGCACCGGTTCTCTCTGTCTGGAACTCTCTTCCAGGGGATTCACACCAAAATAGCCCAAATCACCCAAAATTTTCTTCTTAGCACTTATTACTGGCTGAGGGTATATTATTCTTTATTCATTTACTTGTTTACACTCTACTTCCCCCACTAGAATCTAAGTTCCATGTGAAAAATGGGCTTGTTTCCCACATGGCTAAATCCCAATCATGAGAACAGTACTTTCACATGATAGGCACATAGTTATTTGCTAAATGAATACATGATGTAACACACTGAAATTATTCATAAGACTATACATTACTCTAAGACTTAGCTGAATACATACTGTTCATAAAAGACTATCAATCCAGAGAATCTTAAAAAAAAGTGGAGACGCCTTGCACTGTAACCATTTTACCATTAAAGGGAAGATAGGGTAATCGTGGGAAAAGCAGGCAGAAACCAAGTGAACCAAGTTACTCACAGGATCTACAGTTGGAAGATTGGAAAGTCTCCTCCTTTTCCTGCTTGGGCCTGGTGTGGACACAGAATGGTGCCCATCATCAAAGTCCCCGCTGACACTGCTGGAAGGGGAGGTAGCTCTTCTTCTCTTGGAACCCATGGAATCCAACTTCTTCTAAAAGAAATAATTAGCCATGTTCTTACATTTAAATAGAGTCTGTCACCAAGCCCTCAGCTGGTCACCTGCTATCAAACTCCTGGCTCACTTAGGAGGACAATTTAACATGTTACAGTTTAGCTAAAAGGTTTTTTTTTTTTTGTTTTTTTTAAAGTCCTGGACTTCCTTGTTGCAGTGTTTCACTTACCGGAGTGCTATACCTTCCATTTTGATGGGACAAATTCAATGAAAGTATATTCATTTGTATATCACCAATCTGAGTGACTCAACAACTTCTAGTTCCAAATTTGCCCTAGACTGGAGTTTCCCAACCTACATGTAATAGTACATTGGCGTGCTGAAGGTATTAATCCTTTAGCCCCTAGACGGTCAGGCAGGCCTGAGGTATACAGGCCCCAATATATCCACCTCTGGAGCCAGCACCCATCTGCTTTGCCATGTGCCTTACAATTATGATCATCTGCTAGGTGGGCCACCACGTGGAAAAGAGTAGGAAGCAGAGCCTAAGACAAATGAGTTATGCAAAAAGGTAAGGGGACAGAGGACAATTAACCTTCTAGTATTTTAGATGTACTCGAAAAATAATATCCTGAAAATGAATGTCCTCCATTCATTAAAGCAGGATCCACAAAACATATCTCTGGAAAACACTTAACGTGACTTGTTATACGTAGACAGAAGTACAGAAAAACTGTCCTTTGAAACTCTTCTGTTAATCCAATCTAATCGCCTTTTCAGTGATATGACGTACTCTACTGCCCATAAATTTTGAAATCACAGCTTTAAATCTTAGTAGATCCTCTCAAGAGCACCTCATACATGAGCTTTCAGGTCACAAATAAATATCTGCTCTCGTTTGGGGCTGGCTAAGAAACTAATCTTAAGGCAACTTTACAAATACATGCATTTAGCTATAACACAAGAAATGCAACCACTGAAATTGTCTGCTACAGATGGACTAGTATATATCCAAGAAAGTCCTGCAATGCTTATATTGTGACACAATCTTAACAATATTATCCAACAGCATATTGCAATTTCAAAGGCCTTTTTCTAAAGCTAAAAGATCCCAGTTTGACTCACTCACACTGAAGGTATTGATCCTTCAGTCCCTGAGGTAGTCTGGCAGATCTGGGGGTTAGAGGCTCCAAGGTATATTACTTCTGGAGTCAGTGCAGCATCTGCTTTTCCATGTGCCTCACAATTATGAGGTACCTCATACAACTAGAGTACCTCATAATTGTAAGGTACAAGGAAACACTGAATTTCAGGACACTATGATACCAGGAGATTAGAATGATTAGAACAGGAGAGCACTAGTTGCCAGTGGTATGGAGAGAAAAGTTGGGGATTTCCAGAAAACAGAAAGAAGGAGCAAAACAAACACATTTGAAAATCCTGGTGAGCAATTAAGAAAAGAGACTTCAGAAGTCTCATCTCTTTCTCCAAACTAAAGACCACACAGTGTTTGAAACAAAATCTATCATGATGATGTTCCTTACTCTAGGCTTCGGTTTGTTATACGGTATTAGTTTGAAGTAGCTAAAAGTGGTTAAAAGCATCAAAATACTTAGCCAAAACTTAGGCAAGCTTTGCTGATTTTTGTTCTTTTTATATAAAAGGCTGATATACCGGGCTCAGTTCATTAAGATAAAGAAATTAAGGACCAATCCCTTTTAAACAAGCTATGACAAAGACACAAGTGAATTTGAGGGAACCTTTATGGAAGGGGTAACAAAAATTTAAGAAAGGTGGAAGAAAAAAGGCAAGGAAGGACAGATAAGGGAAAGGGTGTAGATAATCAGTAATTTACCAGCTTTACCAGAGCACAACCAGCGCCTCGAAAAGCCAGTCTCCTCATTATGTCTGAAGGCCAAGTGAAGCCAGTGGGAGAAGGAAGGGCTTTAGAAGTACTGATTCAGTGTTAGTATTTTCAAAACTGAAAAAGAGAACAAGGCAGAAAAGAGGGAAATAGAAAAGGGTCAGAAGGAGTAAAAACGAGTACGAATAGACAGAAAACATTCAAATAGAACTGCTAAAGGAAGATACAGAGAATGGAGAAAACAGGCATATCAGCTCTCTTGTAACTTGCAAAGGCTCAGGCATTAACAGTACCTGACAGTTCTTCCATTTTAAAACCAAATGCTTTCATATGTTTAAAGATGTCTCATTTAGGTTCCCCTTTACTCACATTAGGAATGACTGTCAATTCCAGGAATGAAGCATGCCTGCCCAACTGCCCCCTAGTCAATAAGAGCAGAGTTCAATCACAGAGCTGGAATGAAGAGTGAATACATGTGGGAGGCTCACATGTGACACCAACTGTTGTCAAGCTGGAACAAACCAAGAATGGCTCATGTGAGCAAAAGGTCTAGAAAACACCCACCCCCACAAAAAAAATTCAGAGAAAGAACATTTATTTCCAAAGTCCTAGCTGCATTGGAGATACCATATAAAAATTTGACAAGGTTTAAAAAAAAAAAAAAAAGCCAACCATTTTGTCAGGAGTTCAAAATTACTTTTATAAATAATTCACTGAAAATCAAATGACAAAAAAAACATAAATTACCACCATACGTATGTAGTTTAGATGATACAATATCCCAAAATCCTTGAACCATTAATTTACTTTGGAAAAACAAGAAAAATATTCAACTTAAGGATAATATTTAAGTATTTTTTTAATCAAGGAACGTTTTAAAATGTATTTTGGAAGTTTGGCAAGAAGGGCCATGTTATGAAGTAGGAGAAACCACAGGACCAGAATAGGAGTCCCAAGTCTTCCACCTCTGATTATCAGCTTGATGTTGCCTGAGTGACAGCCTCTCAGGTCTGTTTCTTCATCTCTAAAATGAGAACTTAACGCCAGGCACGGTGGCTCATGCCTGTAATCCCAGCACTTTGGGAGGCCAAGGCCAGTGTATCACTTTGAGGCC